GAAGGATAAGGCAGGTAAAAGAATTCCATGTAAAAGAAATAACATATGTCAGATTTAAACACTTGAAAAGTGTTGCATGTTTGGGAACAGAAGCGTTCAGCTCTTGGGGATTATAAGATGTGAAGGTACCAAATTGGTAAAATAGTGAGGTTAAAGAAGTAGGGGCCAGATCATGAGTCATAGACCATGTATTTAATTGTACAGATCAAATAACATTGAAAATGTATTTTTACACAGTACATTCACATTAGATAGACCCATATATGCATACATATATCATTTTTAAAGTTAACAAATTAAAACCATATTTCTATACTTAGTGCAAAATAAATAACAATAGCATAAAACTGGTAAGAAGCTGATGTTATGCTAAAATTGGCATGTTATGGGTTTGTATCTTTTCTTTGTGTGCACTAGCCACACATATATAATTTACGGCTTTCCTATTGTGTAAATTTCTTTTTATCTTTATTAGTATAGATGTTTTAGAACTGTATAGAATATGTATAGGATAATTCCTTAAACAGATAAACTACCATGTAGCCTTTTTCTTTATATTAACTATTTATATTTGTCAATAAAAAAGGACAAATAAAATAACTTCTTCACCTTGCTTGTCCAAATTTGCCAGAGAGACATATTCTCTGAATATTTTTAAGACAAGTTAATGTCTCCAACTTGCCATTTCTATATTTTAACTTATACTTATTTAAAAGATAATAATAATACAAATATAGTAGTAATATTAGAGTATAATAATACTAGAAATGTTTTAGTTCTCTTGTTACGTTGGTTTTAAAATATTATTTGTTTCATGGATCCTGTTTGTTAAAATAAATTTAATGAAAGAAGAACTTTATTTACTTTTGTCTAACACATTATTCTATATTAGATAATGTTTTCACATACAGAGCTACAAGCATATATATTTGCTAAGGAATCTAATGGGTATAGAATATTTTTCTGTAGTTATTTGTCACACGATGTGGAAAATAATGTAAAAATAATTTTGGATCTGGATTAATCTATAATTTGGTAGCATTTTATTACTTCTGAACCTTTCTAATTTATGGCATTTTGATGTTTTCTTAGCAAATAAGTATATATGCCTATCCTATCCAACTTTAGACATAATTCACATTTTGAAATCTAAGTAGGGAGTTCTGGTGGTTTGTAGCATTTGCTTGTTAATTTCTTGATGAACGGCTAAAGAGGCCAAGAAGTGCACTCAGTCCAACATGTCTTGTGAAGATACATGATCTCAAATAAATTCTCTTCCCAATCAGATTTTGATTTGTTGGGTGTTAAACCAATTCTTTCTAAGGACAGTGTTTATAAGCCTTGTAATGAGACAGCCCTTTGAGACCTTACCTCTTTTTGCTTGTAATTTTGATGAATGAAACTCTAATTCATAAAAGATATTGTGATTGAGAAGCACCTTTGGATCTTGTACACTTTAATTTAGATAAATGTTTCGTGCAGTACCATAAAATCAGGAAGTTTACTGAGCTACAAACTGATAACACTTCAGCAGGGATGGTGAGTTCAGTGTGTCGGTATGGATCATTTTACTATATATCTTTTAAGGGCATACCTGTTTTACTGTTTTAAAACCAGAGAGGATAAAATTGAAAGCTTAATGTACATTTCAGAGCTCAACTTCCTTTCATTACGTTTACTTTATTTGTAGATTTTAATTTTAATAACACAAGAGTATTGTAAAGCTTTTTTCTTAATGACAACGCAGATAAAACATGGTTGTCCACGAGGGAAAATTTGTTTTATCAGGCTGACTCATACTTAAAGAGTTTTATTGATTATTTCATATAAAGAATCAAGTTTCCTTTGTGTAAATACATAAATTCTCCAATTTGTCCCCAAACTGGAGGCAAATTACCAAGACTCTCTGAGAAATCTTAGGATTTTCAGATTAAGAAGTATCCAGAGGTAACTTTCATGTCTCAGTTTATTCATTTGTTCTGCATATATGTGGGCTTGCTCTGTGCCAGGCAGTGTGCTAAGAACTGAGAATACAAAGACAGAAGCACGTTGCCAGTGATCAAGGAGCTTTCAGGCTATTCCGAGACAACAAGCCAGCAACCAATTACAGGACCTATAACTACAGTAACAGGATTTATAAGGTGTGGTGGAAGGGTCAGGGAAAGAGCACACAAACTTACCTTAAGAAATCAGAGAAGAGAACACAGAGTGGGTAGACTTGAATTCCATTCCGCGACTGTTTGTTACACATTTGCTGGGTACCTCACACTGAGGCTGCAGAAATGAGGCCAGAGCTCAGTGGAGAAGACAAACACATAACAGATAACACCTGTCCAGTGTGGTAGAGTTCTGTGTCAACGGTGAAAATACAGAGCAATTGGCTAGGAAAGGCACCTAAAGGAGGTGAGTTTGGGAGATCAAATAGGAATGAGCCCCAAAAAGGAAGAAGAAAGGAACACACCATACAGTAGGAATAATATTAGCCCAGGTAAATAGGTCTGAGGACCTATTTTGGAAGGTATAATAGGTTCAGTATTGCTGATGGAGTGAGAAAAGATAATGCAAAGCTGGTAATGGGAGGATAAAAGGCCTTGCCCAGCAATGCCAAGGAGTTTAGATTTGGACTCCTAGCATACAAGCCTTGCATTGAGTGTTGTTGATTGGAAGGAAACATTATGCAGCAGGAAAATATCCTCCACTTATTTTTGCTTTGTAATAATCACTCTGACAAAAATGTGGGGGATGGTGTGAATAATGGAGCTACCGAAGACCTCCAGACCAAAAGAGTGGTGGCCTGAGCCGGGGCCATGGCAGTCACCTTCCAGGATGACCCCTAGGTTTGTGGCTTAAGTAAGTGGGTTGATCAAAACTGAGGGAGGTGGAGAAGCAATAGATGATTCATTCAGTTAGGGAAATGTGGACTTAGGAGTATCCAGCTGCAGATGTCTAATAGCAATATGACTATAAAGACCTCAAGAGAGGCTTCTCGGTTATTAGTGATTGGATTCACCTCTTTTGTTCTCAAATGATGCAAGCTCTGAGTTTCTCAAATTAAGTTACTACCCAAGAAGCAAACAAGTTATAAAGCTAGCCACCCCCAGAAGTGTTCTGTTTTACTGGCTTTATATCATCAAGAAACCAAATAAAATTAAGATAAGGTTCTGGAGCATTCAGTAATCAGTCCTCAATCTCTTATTCCAGAAGTAAGAATCATCTGTGGGCCAGTGAAAGAAAAATATACATATAACCTATTTAATGCCCCTCACCTCCCACGTAGCATTGAGTTGTAATAATACTGTTTGTTTCTGAAGTACTTATCAAAATATACATTTAACAATTATTACTTTATGCAGTTATGCTATATATATATTTTTAGCCATGCTTTCTAAATGCTATTATCCTGTAAGAGCTAGGATGACAGACCATACCTCTGTGACAATAACATTCTACAGTGCTTTTGTGGCATGACTGTGTTCCTCATGTGGTTTTTACTCCTGTATGTGCTACTTATTAATGTTTTAGCAAACAGAATTGGCTCTGCATCGCTGACAAAAAGAAGCGTGCAAGTTGCAATGAAAGAGGCTAACACTTTTGCAATGCAACACAGACAGACCCCTTAACAGTCCCTAGAACTGTGATACAACACCACCACACAGGAGTGATTTATTAGGCTCCCATTTTCAGGAATATATCCACCACACCTAATGAAATGTGTGGGTATTTTCCCAGGAAATGCTGCCTCCTTGAAACCTATATACTAATACTACAGCTAGAACACAGTAAATATTACATTTTCTTTGGGGCTGAATTCCAGCCTCAAGTGATACGAAATAAAGATATTTTTAGCTAAATATACAAATACATATAAATATAATGTATTTATATAAATATATATATATATATATATATATAATTTGCTGTTCAGATAATTTTAGAGTCATCATCACCTGCCAAAGCAGGTGGCTGAAGTGGCTATTCTTAAAATACTGAAATATAATGTTGAAATTTAAATATTGAATTATATCTGTTAATGAGTCAAATCCATGAGGGATTCAACTGCATTGTAATTTCTAAACTTTACACTGATTGACATGCTAATGCTGGGTCAGCTTTGGCTGTATTTCAGTTTTTCTGACTTACTTTGTTTTTGTATGTTTGGCCTTCTGTACTATTTTTTTTAAAGATTTTATTTATTTATTTGAGAGAGAGAATGAGAGAGAGAGAGAGAACATGAGAGGGGGGAGGGTCAGAGGGAGAAGCAGACTCCCTGTTGAGCAGGGAGCCCGATGCGGGACTCGATCCCGGGACTCCAGGATCATGACCTGAGCCGAAGGCAGTCACTTAACCAACTGAGCCACCCAGGCGCCCCCCTGTACTATTTTATCTAACAAAATAAGGCTATCAGTTTCAAAGAACATTATTGCTTTCACTGACTGTTAAGGAAATAGCTGCTGTGCAACACATTTGGTGTCTCCATAATTCCTAACTTAACCCGTTTGTAGCTTCCCAGTGACAACCACTGCACTCTTCAAATGTGGACACATTCTTGTTTTCTTCACACTTATCTCATCTACTTTCAAAAATGATCTGATCAATTGATTTTCTAATTCACACAAAAGTATAATTGTGTACTTTTATGTATCAGAAAACCAAGTTTGTGGTGAGGTGCAGATTTTTTATAGAAAGTGGTGATCTTAGAGCCCCAAGACATGGATTTGTAGTCTTTTTCTCTACCACCGGCCAACTCCTAGGTCCCTCAGTGAGGAATGGGATTTCTCAGCCTTTCTCCTCCTCTGTAAAAGAAGGGTAGGTGATTGATTACACCCCCCTGTCTTTCTCAGTTATTTGTGAACACCAAACAAGATAAAGAAGGTAAAAATGTTCTGTAATTGTAAACTCATACATAAATGCAGCATATAATTATAAGTAATAGGTTATTTTTAATACTAAAAGCCAAACAATCATAATAACCTAAATTGTTGTATTTCCTTTGTGACTAGGCACTGAAGAAGATGTGGTAAAGTCCAAGAAAGCCTTCAGAAGTCAAGCAATAGTGAATCAAAATGCAGAGACAGAACTTATGCTGGAAGGAGATGATGATGCAGTCAGTCTCCTGCAGGAGAAAGAAATCGACAATCTTGCAGGTAAATGTTTAAATATCTTTCTTCTATTTGTTGTCAGTAAGAAATACAAAGTTCCCAAATTTAAGATCTATCTCCTGGCGAATGAGTTGGTGCCAGTGGTTGGAACAATGCAGAATCATGTGAACATTAATAATTTACTTCATCTCACTTCTAGTATTGGAGAGAGGAAAGTACCTATCAAACAAATATGTATTTTACTAATAATAAATGAATGGCTACATCTGCTTTCTTTGTAATGAGGAGCAACTTTTTAATATAGGAAAAATAGCATATAGCAGAAGTTGTCCCTCTAACTGCCTAGATAATTGGAAGGGGAGACAGAATGATAGACTCATTGACTTATGAGTGACTCTAGCCTGCTAACAGCCATGAAGAATGGCCACTTCAGCCAGCAGACACTCAAATTTGCCATTTCTTCCCTGCTGCCACTCTTTGGAATGTCCCTGGTGTTTTTCTGTATACCTGCACTGCTGATCTTCACCATTAGCAGACAATGCTTGTTTTCGCCTTGTCCTGGTGCTGGTCTAATGTCAATTGAGAGCAGTATCTGCAGTGACCATGTGGGATATGGATATATGGATATATGCATTGGGCCATGACCTTATTTGGGTTTTAAACCATCTTTGAGAATCTGATGAAAACAGATTGCTTCATGAAGGTGCACGTATAATTTTAAACACAATTTCGGAGGGTTCACTGACCCCTGGAAACCAGTCCATAGAACCATATCATAGATCTCAAGGTAAAAACTCCTGCTTTAGAGTCTCAAGAAGTGGCTGCGTCTTACCTCAATTCTGTATTTTCAGCCCATACAACGTTGGGGTGGCAGATAGCAATAGAGAAGTGGACTTGTACTCATCATTCGGTTTACAGAATAGCACTCCTGTTTCCAGAAGTTTGCTGAAAATTATCTGGCTTTATAAAAGCCTCCAATGATGTTTCTACCAGTTAGAGATTTCTCTTTTTATCAAAGAGATGTTCTTGTTCATTGTAAACTAGAGATGGCAACTTATTCTCCCTCTTCTAGAAAATGTTTCATAAGGTTACTCAAATGCCAGCTCCTGGATATACCTATATCACTCACATTTCTGTATCATGAAAATTATTTGTCCTATTTAAAACTAATCCTAAGTCTATGAACAGATGTTTGCCTTGAATTCCTAAGTAAATGTTGAAGTTTTGGTTTTGTTGTTTTTGTAGTTTGTTTTAATAGTTCAGAGATTTTCTCTGAGGCCATTTGGAAATTTAAGCAAATGAAGTCTGATTTGTTTTTGCCCACAGATTTGTTTTCTCTTTTTCTGGTCTTATTCTTGATCCTAAAGAACTAAAGAAAATTTATAAACATGATTTGTGACCTTTTCAGATAATATATTGTCTTTCCTCATCCACATATGCTAATAGATATGTTCAATAATTATACAATTTAGTTTAGACTCTCTGGTCCTTAATTCCCATTATAAAGGTAATTAATTAGTTGATACAAATTTGGCTGATATCCTGAAGTTTATTATAATAAGACCTGCCCCAAACTACCAGAGGCAAAATCCAATAAAGACTCATAACTTCTTTATATTTCTCTCCTTTGATGGTGGCTAGAGTAATTATTAATATTAATTTATGCTTATAGGCAAAATTCCCAAAATAACATTAAGTTAAAATATCTACAGAACAATGAAAGTATGCTTGCAGTAAATTATTTAAAAATCTAATTGTGTGGCTCTTGACTAATTCACTCTGTCAAGACTCCTCTAACTTCTGTCTTTTAAGCAGACTTTTCTTTGAGCAGATCCACTCCTATCCATTTCCATCTGGTTCTAAGTCATACTCTTTTTGCAGAATCCTTCTGTCTGATGAATTTTACAAACTGTCCTAAAATATTGATCCCCTATCTAGTCTATAATGTTCCTCTTTAAAAGAGCAGCCCGCAAATGTGACTCTTGAGCTTTGAATTCAGTAGAAAAGAAGGAGGGGTAGGATGTTTTGTGAAAGGAGAAGTAAGGGTAACAGAAATAGTCTGAATAATATATAAGTATATATAGATTCATTCTGTAAATGCTGAGGCCTATTTATTAGCTAGACTGGTGTGATAGTCACAATGTCACATAAAAATCATTTTAGGTGATTAACATAACAATAAAAAGAAGTTAATTACAAACCACTGTTCTTTAGATTTTAAAAAATCAGCTGTTAATAAAATTTCAGACCACATAAATATATAACTGTTTTGTTGTCTTTGTCTCAGAAATTAAAAGTTGTTAAAGGATAATGGCTTTCTTATATGTAACTTATTGCTCTAAATAACCAAATAGTACTAAGCTGCCTAGAGAAAAACTTCACAGTCACAGGAGATGAGATCTAAGGCCACATTAAAATCCAGGAGATCCTAAAATCTGTGCACAAAATTAGTATAGTCTATACTTGGTGTCTGGAAATACTATGTAAAATAACAAATGCCCATTTTCCACTTCCAATGAAAATTATGGGTTTATCTTTTCATGACTTAGTAATATGGCTTGCATATTAGTAATGTAAGAAATATACCTTCAAAAATATATAAGTTTAAAAAAAGGTAAATAACAATAACAAAAAAGGAGGAAAAAATATATATACAAGGAATTAGAATTCTTAGATTTAGATATTCTGTGAATGAGGAACCATTTTTATAATATTAATGGTAAACCTAAATCTGCTGATTAGTATATTTCATTTTCCTGTTCTTACAAAGCCCTGTTTTGCTGACAAGCACACAGATGAGGAGACCATGCGTTATAATTTGTCAATGTGCAATATTTCTTAATAGTCAAGTTAAATTCCAGGGGAAAAAAAGATGCTAATTAGAAAAGAAAACTAAGGGAAAATACTAATTTAGTTAATATTATATTTGGGAGTTTAAAAGATAGGATCAGTTTCGTTTATAAAAAGAAGAAAAGAGAAAGAAGAATAGCTAGCATGTCTTCTAAGAACCAGGCAGTGTCTAAAGAGCTTTATATGCAATAACCTATTTAATATTCACAGTAACTCTATGAGCTCGATTATTACCCTAATTTTACAAATGAGGCTAAAGAGGCCAAGAGAGATTAAGTAGCTTGTGTAAGGTTAAGAAGTAAATAAAATAATGTTATTTCCTTAAAAATACGTAAGTTATGGTTTCAATTACCAAATAGTATATTGAAATATGCATGTGTATATACTTAAAGATTCTTCTAAAATGATGTAAAAACAAGATCCTCAGCTTATGCCTCAATTTTTACACTGGTTTTATTATACTATATTTAGAAGTCTATGAATATGCACAATAATTAGTTTTAGTTTTATATATCTGTTCTCTAAAATCATTCTGGTAAGTTAAAAAAATCTGATAGAGTGTTTTTAACACAATTTTATATAAATATTGACTCTTGTGTTTTTTCCCATTTGCTTTGGAGTTTTCTAGTTTTTTAATAAAGATAAAATGGTCCACCAAGTTCTGCAGACTTAAATGTCATACAATTTTCTGTTTCACTTTTAGTTCCCTTTCTTCCCAAGCTGTTCATCTCAAGAGGCAAGTTAAATGTGTGTGATTATTAATTACTCAATTTATTATGCACTGTAGCAAATGGCTAATATAATTATAATATAGAAGTATGCAAATGAATTAAGTAATTATTATATTAATAACACCTAACTTAATTTATTTTAATTGCTTTTTTAGTTTGTAGTGATTCACCAAAGTGAATTAGCACCTAAGATTCCATACGTAACTAAAAATTTCAATTTACTAATTATATTGTTACTTAAAACACTGAAGTTAATTAGTATAATTCAACTGTTTTTAATCTAAAATCCCAATGTATATTTTAATTTGAAACTCAGCTTGGCAAGTTATTTCTGCAAATAATTACTGAGTAACTAAAGTTTAACTAAAATTTATGTAAAGTGACAAGTAAATGATTTAATTCAACTGATAGAACTGTGTCCCACTCATAAAATGTACCTCATTTTTTTTAGAGCAGTAGTTCTGTCACATACGCCAAGTGACAATAGAAATATTTTCCATAACAGATTTGGAATTTGTCCACATTTCTCTATTGTTACTTCCAAATATTCCTAATTTTGCCAAGTTAGGGAATTCTGAATTCATCATGGTGATGGTCCTTTATGATTTATCAGTTCGGCAAATTATTAAAAACAATTTTTTTGTTTATATATGTAAGCTGTTATTACCAATAATCCACCTGTCCATTTAACATCAAAAAACTTGAAATATTTTCCATAGATTTATACCAGTATCCAAACTTCTTTCTTTACCTGAAATATCCTTCACACATCTCTATTCTACACCTTCCCTTATCACTTATCAAAATCTCTACCCATTTTTTATAACTATATTAAACACTTGATGAAGTATTCACTGGCCAGTTTTGTCACCCCATAACTTTTTTGTGGCAACAGTTTTATTGAGGCATAACTCACACACCATACAATTGTCCCTTTTAAAGAGCACAATTTAATGATTTCTAGTATATTCACAGAGTTACGCAACCATTATCACAATTTTAGAACATTTCGTCACATCAAAAAAGAAACCTCTATACTCTTTAGCTATTCCACCCAGTTTTCCCATGCCCCCTCCACAGCCCTAGAGGACCACTTATCTACTTTCTGTCTCCATAGATTTGACTATTCTGAACATTTCATATAAATATAATTGTATAATATGTAGTCTTTTGTGACTAACTTCTTTTACTTACTTAACATAATGTTTTCAAGACTCATCCATGTTATAGCATGCATGTCCCTTTTTACGGTGAATACATGGGGAATATCCATTGTATGGATATATCACATTTTGTTTGTCCATTCATTAATTGATGAACACTTGGTATGTTTCCACCGTTTTGCTACTGTGATTAATGCTGCTGTGAACATGCATGTACAACATTTTATGTCGACATATGTTTTCATTTCTCTTGAATATATACCTAGGCATGAAATTTCTGGGTCAGATAATAACTCTGTTT